GGCATCTAAAACTGAGTTAATCAAAGTTAGTCTACCTCCCAAGGATAGATATTGTGATCTCCATATAGTTAATTTCTTTTCACATTTCTCTAGAATTGGATTCCAAATATCTATGGACCTATACTCAGCCCCCAGAGGCATGCCCAAGTATATTGATGGAAAAGTGCCTATCGCACCTCCCAGGATCTGAGAAAGGTGATCCATTTCTGGAACCACATTTATTGGATGTAAGCGGCTTTTGTTCCAATTTATATGGAGCCCAGAAATGGCTTCAAAGTACACCAATATAAGTCTTATTATCAAGAGTTGCTCCTCCTCAGCCCCACAAAAAATTAGTATCATCAGCATACTGCAGATGTGTGATCTCTACACTGTTTCCAGCAACCTTGCTAACTTCAAATCCCTGAATTCTTCCTGTTATCTTAGCTATATTCAGCATGTTGTTGAGTCCCTCCATGGCTATGATGAACATGAAAGGGGATAGGGGATCCCCTTGCCTGATCCCTCTATGTGCATTGAAGAATCCTTCAGGTGACCCATTAATGAGTATTGAAAATTTCACAGTTGAGATACAGAACATGATCCAGCTGGTCCACCTCCCACCAAAACCCATTTGACTCGGCATACTTAAAATGAATTCCCAGTTCACATGGTCATATGCTTTCTCAATATCAAGTTTGCATAATATATCAGGCTTTTTCTGGGCCACTCTGGAATCAATTGCTTCATTAGCTATGAGCACGGCATCTATTATTTGCCTGCCTTTGATAAAAGCCATTTGTTGTTTGTCTACCAATTTATCCACAACTCTCTTGAGTCTTTCTGTCAGTACCTTGGAAATCAGCTTGTAAAAGCTTCCAATTAAACTGATGGGTCTGAAGTCTTTGAGTTCCTTTGCTCCTATCTACTTAGAAATCTTCTTAGGATTTTAATTATTAATACCAAAAACTGCAGATTATAAGCTAACAATTAAGGAAGTGCAGTGAAGATAGATTGTAATCATTATGAGAGAAACCTAGGGTTCCACCGCCTCTATGAATTCGATCAACTTCGTTGATTCATGTGGATTAGTAATTAGCGACCATTTATTAGGCTATCCTTGATCATATGCCACGGTCTTCCAACTTAGACGTATTTTTACTTAACTCATATTCCTATTCATTAAGCATAGGGCTGGGCATTCGGTTGGTTCGGTTTACGAAATTTGGTATGTGTTTTTTTGGTTTGCGGTTTGGTGATAATATTAACCGAAACCAAACTGAAATAAATTCAGTTCAGTTTGATTTTCACAATTTCGTTTTGGGTATCATTTATATTGAGCCTTTTTCTGTGGGTGAACTGAGTTTTTTACATATTAAGAGAACTTCTCCAGGAACTTCGTGATGATACATTAGCTGTCCAGAGACATATATTTGTGTTTGCCTAATTATTTCTTTACCTCCTTAGTTTAAGTGATGAAGATTGAAGACTCTTGTGATAAAAGACAAAGGAGGAAAGTATGGAAAGTATGGTTTACTCAATCACTGGACAACTGAGGAGGTTGCGGGAACCTTTGGGTGTAGTGTCTGGAAAACCATAAGAGGCCTCATTTCAACAACATGTCAATCACTGTTGGAAATGGTTTGAAAACTGATTTCTGGAATGAGGTGTGGATTGGAGAAGACAATCTTAGAAATTCCTTTTCACATCTTTACACTTTTGAGTACGCAAAGGAATGTCTCTGTATCCCAAGCTTGGAGTCAGCAGGGATGGGACCTGTTTTTAGAAGAGCACTAAATGACTGGGAAATTGGGGAAGTTGCTACCTATTGGGAGTACTAAACTCACACCCTGCTTTATCTATGAGGCCTGACAAACCTAGATGGAAATTACATAACAAAGGTGTGTTCACACTTCACAGTGAAATCATGTTACTGGAATCTTAACACAAGGCAGTCAATGGTAGACATTTGGCCTTGGAAGTTAATCTGGAAGACCAAATGCCCCCAAAGGTAGCTTGTTTTTGTTGGTTAGTTTGTAGAAAGGCTTGTTTAACACATGAGGCTTTACAGAATAGGGGATGGCAATTTTGTTCAAGATGTGTCATGTGTGAACAGGAAGCAGAAGTCAATGACCATCTGTTCCTTCATTGTAAGGCAGCGTTGAGCCTATGGAACATGTTTTTGGCTCTGTTGGGAGTTAAATGGGTGATGCCTAGCACAACAAAGGAACTACTAAATAGCTGGAAAGGTATTGAGAACAGAGGAAGATCTGAACACTGGTGGAGAACTATCCCTGCTTGCATATAGTGGACCCTCTGGAAAGAAAGAAATTTAAGAAGTTTTGAGGGACAAAAGACTAACTTACAGAAGATTAGAATGAATTGTATATGCCTTTTGTTTTTTTGGTGTAAACAGAATCTTGTAGGGGATATAGTAGATTTAGTTGATTTTATAGGAAACTTGTAAAGTATACCCATGGGTGGGATGTAAGTTTCCAATTCATCATTTTTTGGATGATGAATTTTTTGGTGTGAATATAAAGTTACCCTTGTCTCAAAAAAGTAACAAAGTAAAGTAAATGGTGTCCATCCATGAGTTCAGAAAATAGATAAAAGTAACAAAGTAAAGTAAATGGTGTCCACCATGAGTTCAGATGTACATCGGCAATGGTGGTCTTGTAGGGACGATGGTAGTTTGGACAGTTTTGTGGCGTCGACGATGGTGGTTTGTGATTTGTGGGACTGTGAGTACTAAGTTGTGAGTTTAGGGTAGGGAGTTGGGCTGGGTTGGTTACAGTGTTTTGGACGGCGAGAGGCGACAAAAGGCGACAAGGGCCTGCCTCGCCACGCAGCGAGGCGCTCGCCTTTTTGAATCGAGGCGCCAATTAATACCAAAAATTAAAAATATTTAATTGCATATATAAATATCCAAAATCTCAATAGCAATAAGATATATTAGCAAATATTTCAATTCAAAAACTAAAAGTAGGTACTAAAAGTCTAGAACTTTAAAGACCCAATAATTCAAAAGATAATACTAGAACTCTAAAAGTCTATTCTTCTTCAAAACTATCCAACTCTTGAAGATCAACATCCTCTACATCATTATATTGCTCCTCATCTTCTTCCTCCTCGTAGTCTTCATCAATTAGTGTCCGAGTCCTACTTGAAGTTGAACTTGTAGATGTAGTTTCTACTCCTTTGCCCTTGTCAAGTGCCCTTGATCTTGAAGAAAGTCCCCTAAGATGATAGATACTCTCATCAGCTCCAATTGCCGTAGCAACACTACCCCAAGTAAGATCATCATCCTCATATACTAGTTCATCTTCTTGATCTTCGGGGCATCCAACTAACCATTCATTTGAATCATCAATGTTATCCAAGCGAATTGGATCAATGAGATCACGAGCATCATAACGACGTTTCAATGTTCTATTGTACTTAATGTACACTAGATCATTGAGACGCGATAGTGCAAGTCTATTCCTCATTTGGGAATGAATCTGCGCATAAGCTATTGATATTAACTCATAGATATTGATAATAATATAATATGGAAATTAGGATATAATTTTTTTACTTACGTGTTCAAACACACTCCAATTTCGCTCACATCCGGATGAGCTACAAGTTAGGCTTAATACTTTCATGGCAAACTTTTGCAAGTTTGGTGTTTCACTACCAAATAGTGACCACCATTCAACTATAATAAAATAAATTTAAAGGTTAATGAGTATAAATAAGTCAAATAATTTAAGTAAGA